GAGTTGGAAGACGCGCCAGCAGCACTTTATAGGTCTGCTGTATGGGACCACTTTGCATTTAGAGTGACCTACGATGACGGCGGAAAGAAAGCTGTGGATAAAAGTGAAACAGTGTGCAAATATTGTGCAACACGTTTTGTTTATGCTAACAGCAGTAGAGGGCATGCGCCAGATGATTAAATTCAAAGCAGCAAAACATGCGGAAATTACCCAGGGTTTCCGCGGATCATTAAAAATAATTACAATCCATTCATCTTTTTGGATTTTTTTTATTAATTTTTATGGGATTTCGGGGGAACAATCAACATATACCGAACGAAAACCATAAACCGAACCGTGGATTTTGTGAACCGTTCCACCCCTAGTCATTTGTGTGTTTTTAGCTTTCTTCCTGTATGGGAAGCTTTTCAAACTTTGAAACATTAGTGCAGTGGTTTATGTTAAAATAAACCTTTGGGTTAAGTTGTTGCAAGCAGGTTTTTTTTGTGTTTTTGGTCTTAAATTTTTATTTCAAGTTGCATTAAAAAGTCTTGAATTTAACTCGCCTTATGCTGTAGGAACCCTGTCTAACATCTTGCATCTTTTCCCTGTTCTGACAGCCCGGCGTTCCTGCGTTTACAGTCCGGCAGCCGGAGGACGCCATGGCCGTCCTGAGGGACCGATCCAGAGAGATACAGGTGAGTGCCCGTGTCTGGAGAAATCGCTCCACCTGCAGGTGCTCAGCTTTATGTTGTCCCCTCTGCCGTCCCAGTGTCCTCTCTGGGTGTGTCCCGACCTGGACCAATACCCCACAGACTCTGGACCTTTACAGCTGGGCCTGGCTGGACAGCACCAGCGGTCCAACGCCTCCCTGGCGCTGCAGCTGAGCCACACCTGGCTGCAGAGGAGATGTGGACCAGGTGAGGTAACGGCTCTGGAACATGTTTTGTTTCAGTTATAGGGGTTCTTACGCCGTCAGCAGCAGCGGCGACCGGACCCTCCTTTGCTTTATTATTGACGGTAGATGTTCTGTGTGGAATGGCCTTGTTAGATTCATGTTTCTGCCCCCAACAGATCAAAGCTGCTCTCCTCTCCTGGATCCAGAGAACAGCTCTATAGCCCAGGCAGCGTCTTTCAAACCCAGCCCTGTCATGGTGAAAGGTGAGTCTACAAAAAAAAACAGGTCTATCTTCCCCGGAGCCAGCAGCCGGATCACTGTCCCTGTGTTTGGGTTCAGGCCTGGCGAGCACAGAGTGGGCCGGCAGGACGCAGACTCTCAGACACGGAGCGCTGACCTACTTCCTGGACGGGGCTCACACCAGGCGCAGCATGCAAGCCTGCGTCCAGTGGTTCAGAGAGACCGCCGCCCAACACGAGAGGAATGCCAGGTGAGCAGGGCGGGACCAAAGCTCGGACTCGGCTCGTTGCTTTATCCAGGGTTCCCCCCCCCGGTCCTTAAAAAGTCTTAAAAAGCATTGAATTCTTCAAAACAAAACTAAGGCCTTAATTGGTATTAAAATGTCTTCAATCAGTCTTTCGTAGGTCTTAATTTTTAAAACATCGATTGATTTTTGTAATCTAAATAAAACATTAAAATTGACTTTTTTTTTTTTATAAAAAATAAATAAATAACGGCTCGCCATTATTGATTCCGTCTCGATAGCGGAACCAATAAAAGCGTTGTTGCTGCCGGTGTAGGTACCAGATTGACTTGGGGGGGCCTGCGCCTTTTGATGACGTCACAATACATAATTGTTTTAACGTTTGCACAATTGCGCAAAACATTTTGATTGGTCTGGACAGCTTACTAAAGTAATTATAGCGGGGTGTAGGTTTTATTCGAAAGCGGGATTGCGGTTTGTAAACGGACAATTTTACGAAGAAATTCTCCATGGTCCCTGTGCCTTCCGATGACGTCACCAAATTCGCCATGGGCCTTACACCTCCCGATGACGTCACATTATGGCAACGCCACTCAAACAAACTACATTGAGCCCGCGGTCTGCATTTGTAACGACAATAAATTCAGGANCCACGGCGAGACGACCATAGCGGTTCTAAAATGGAAACATTTTGATCAGAGGATTTAGTCCTGTTGGCAATCTGTAGGACAGGAGAATTTAAGAATGACAAATATTTTTCTTTACATGTGAAAAGTTGGTGAAGACAAACTACAGCTACTGTATTTTCTGGACTATAGAGTCCACCTCACTATAATTCGTGCCTACAATTTTTTTTCAAAAACTGGAAACGTACATATATAAGCCGCACCGGGCTCTAATGCTACGTTCACACCGGACGCAGCAGGAGCAGCAAAATCGCGTCTGCTGCTTCATTTTTGCTGCTTGTACCAGTTTAGTTCTGACGCGCGGCTGAAGCAGCTTTGCTGCTCTGGCTGCACGGTGCAAAAGTGTGTCTGACGCGCGTTGGGCAGAGCTACTCTATCCTTTCTTTGCCTTGCAGCTATATTTGCTATAATCAGTGGGAATAAAGTAGTTTTAAGTGAGAAAATCCACCTGAAAACTTAATCAGTGCAGTCAGTTCATCCAGATTACCATCCTGCCTTCCAATATTATTTCTGTCGGAGCAGCTCAGACCCCCACATACCAGCGGTGCGCTGTCAGTAGGAATCCCATTCAACAGCAGCCTCTGGCCCGGTCGCCTCCTCACGGTTTGCCGCGGCTGCTGGAAGGGTCTTTTCATGTACATAATCCAAACTGCAGGCACCAGGATAATAAAAGCGAACAGGCTTTGTCGGTAGGTTTTAGCATTTTAAGTTAATTTAGGCGTCAATAAACTGTTTCAGAGGAGCGATCACAGCGTTCTGTGTCATCAGCGATGTGTCTCTCCCTGTCAGCTCCCAGATCAGCGTCTCTGATTGGTTGATGCGGCGCGTTGAGCAGCAAAAGTTCAATTTTGATTCTACTGCTTATGCTGCGTCTGGTGTGAACGCAGCATAAGCAGCTGATATTTACTGAACTATCTCCCACCAACCCTGTAGGGGGAGCTCTACATATAACCCTTGAAGTAGGGACGAAGAAGAATGCTAGCTCCTGTTAACTTGTTAGCTTGCAGCAGTAGGAGCTTTTAATAAAAGATGGAGCTTCATCAGCTCTTTATCTCCGCTGTAGGAGTTGAACCCAGTCTCTTCATTGGTCCGGTGTAGGTACCAGATTGACTCGGGGGGCCTGCGCCTTTTGATGACGTCACAATACATAATTGTTTTAACGT